GGGGGGGGGGGGGGGATTAGTTTTTTTTTGGATCTCCCTGGGGGAATCATCTTCAGGAAAGTTCGTGGGGATAGCGAAGGGGATGAGGTTGGGCGAACAGCGGAAATTATGAGGATCTTATTGGGAAATATTCACTTGGGGTTTTTCAATTTTTAATTTATCTGGAAAATTTTTAGAGTCGGGAGAATTTCATCAGAAATTTTAATTTTGTATGATTAGATTTCAACTGTTTAATATTCTTCAACTGTTCTTTATTATTATGAAGAAGAGTTGGTTATTTTGAGGGATGGATAAAATTATAAATTAGAATATTTTGTTGTCAGAAGCAATTGTCGATTGGGCCATGAAAATTTACCAACATTGGGACATAAACCTCGAAATATCATTTAATTTATTGTGAAATTTCAAACATTTGAGGCAGTGATCCAATAGTTAATTCATTAAAACTTATTATTAACAAATTGAAGCATCGTTAATTGCGGTACAAAGATGTTGAGTATTTTTCAATGACAATTATGAGCTCAATCTCACGCCCACACATCCTCAAAAAAGTTGTAGCAATTTTTCATGTAAAATTCGAATTTTTTTCAAATTATTTTAACGAAAAATTATTATTATTATTATTATCATTATTATTAGTTTTTACTGTTGGATAGAAAAATGAAACAAAAAATATTTTTCAAGGTTGGCTTGATCTGCGAGCGAATGCTGAAGGAGCAAGAGACTCAAATTAGGGAAGAGTATGATCAGATATTGAACATGAAGCTGTCAGAGCAGTATGATGCTTTTGTTAAGTTTACGTACGATCAGATACAGAAGAGATTTGAATCAGCAGCTGCCCCAAGTTGTAAGTATACTGTTGATTATTGGGATTGAAAAAGAGGAGAGTATTTTCTCATGCATTCCCTTCTATTTATTTCAGATCTATCCTAAGCTAAGGACCCTACCTCTAAGGCCAGGTTTCTGTGAAGAATGTTAGGTAAGAAAATTCCAAAAATCTTCATTACTTTGCTATAAAATAACCTTCAATTTCTTGATAAAAGGAAATTTTCCACAATTTTGAACAGATTATTTTCACTATATCTCTGAAACCACTGAGTTTAGGAGAAACTTTCAGAAGATCTTTTTTGTGGACAATTTCATGAGCTACAAAAAAGTTCTTGTCACATTTTCCCCTAAACCCAGTATTTTCAGGGAAATAAGCAGAAAAAGAAAATCAATTTTTTTATTTACCACATTTTAACAACGAAAACTCGTTTATTAATTATTTATCGATTATAAATAGATTAATTTGGTTTTCCATTTTGCTTTTTACAGATTTCTACTGCTAAGTGAGAGAATTTTTCGCTTCAAATAAAGAGGTAGCCAGCGTCACCTCACCAATTACTCGAAAAAAAAATATCAAATCATAACCGTTGATAATCGACTCAACGTAACTCTTGTGAGAATAAAACAAAACACTTTTTTGGCATAAAAGGAGGAAGTTTTAGTGAAGTAAGTTGCGTAGGCTCCTAGTTAATAAAAAATCAACTGCGACCGAAACTCAAATAAATAAAAAAGAATCCACAATGTATACTAGAGAACGAATCACTAAAAAAACTAACAAAATTTGTACTGTCCGATGTTAGAAGTGCGCTGGCATCAGGGAACTATGTAAATGTCGACAAGTTCGTACTCTTTCTTTAAAAAAATGTTTCAAAAGATTTTTCTAAACACAACTTTTGTTAAATTCGTCATCTGCCATTGATCCTTTTTTTGCACAATGAAAGATTTTTGTAAAATAACGTAGTCATTTCTCATAGAGTTAATTCAATGCCATATAGAGTTTTGCTAGGAAAACCAGAAAACAAAAAAAACATAATTTAGTGAAACGTGAATAGAATGACGGAGTAACGGATAAACAAATTGAAATTGCTGACGTCAGTTTCCCACAAAAATTGTAAATTCTGAATGTTGAATCTTTCAGTTGGTCGATATTACCATGACCCAAGACCCCAAAAATAACATTTCACAGAAGAAAAAAAATCCTCCAGTCATATTCACGACTAGTTGTACAAAGTTTGTAAAACTCTAGAGCATCATCGAGGCCCTCGATTAGATAAATTCACTGTAAAAACATTTTTTGATACCTGTAAAACGTGAAGAAAAATTCGTTTTCTATGCAATCATTTGTTCGCAATGCGCACATTACCATTAATTCCCCATTATCTCTAATTAGACGTTACTACCCTGTGCATTTAGGGAGCCAGAATTACCCGAAAAATCCACGAGTCCATTATTTTCCCCAGCATTGTTGAAACGGTACTATAATTCGACCCGCATTTCCCCCATTTTCTGAATAAAACTACGGGTTATGATAGAATCAACGCCTTGCATTGGCTAATCGCGAAAATTGAACTAGAAATTAACTGCCGAATGCAGTGTCATTGATTGTAGTATTGTGAACAATAAAAAATGAAAGAAAATCCAAGAGTTTAGTAGATTTTTATGCATAGTTCGTTCCCTGGTAGCCAACAGCTCTGAAAAGGCGACTAAATAACTCGCTGGATTAACAAAACCAATATACTATGAATGAATACATTTACTGTGCCTATTCTAGAAATATTTATCAAGATACCGCGGTTCAGACGTAACATTAATTATCCATAAGCCCCGACTAGTTTGTAACCCACCAAATGAAAACACGATTGTTTATCATTTAGTTATCCTGCGTAACACGTCGTAATATTTATTTTTAGTAAAATTACATAAATCCCAAGATTCGATATAAGTAATTGAAAATTGTACGACTATCGTAAATCTAATCGAATGGCACTGTATTGCCAATGAGCTTAGTTTAATACAGATGAAATTCTGAAACCCCATTTTTCGTTCAATCTTTATTTTTTTAATGTTATGTTAAGGGTATTTCTCATCACTTTGTTTTTACGTTTACTGCATGAGTTGTCATTTGTTATTTCATTTATTAATATTGTAACATAACTGTGAGAGTGGGGAGTGGGGAGAGAGTCGGGCAAAATAGACAATTTTTGAATGTCTTTTGATAAATATGTTGAGAGAACATTTTTTTAGATGAAATATCTTTGAAAATTGATCTGTTATGAGTTAGAAATCAAATTATTATTATGTGAATTAATTCCAAAGGGAAACAATGTAATTGTTAGGGAAAAAATTCGCGTTTCATTGACAATTCGAAGGGTTAATTAAATTCTGAAAAAGTTAAAATTGTTGATTTTGCCTAGCCCTCCCCATACGAGCGAAAAAACGTAAAAGCAGGTGGTGAAAAACAATGTTACGAAGCATTGAAATTCGATTTGTATCGGATACGTGTAATAAGTTATGTATACTCGAAGCAAGTGAGGAAGAAGAAATTATAATGGTTTATGATTAAGGGGAGACCGAGGATACCACTGTGGATAACGAAACTGAAGTCCTTGAAAGGATCCGAGGGATTTTTGATCTCTTCAAGGGTGAAAATACCTCCATTAAAAGAATGTACACTTATTAATTGATTGAAAGAATAAAATATAAATCTTAAGACTGATTATCACTGGTTTCTTTCACTGTAGTTTGTCCATTAATTTCGGGGATTTGGGGGATTGCTAGGATTTTATTCACCAGAAGTGAATGTTATGAAGTCGAGGAGATGATACTCGATGATTAATCAATGAGGAGTTGTTGGAGGTGCCACTGGACGAAATGAATGGATCGGCTGTCAGTTACGCACTGAGCAGCAATGCAACATCACCCACGTGCTCAGATGATCTTTTATCTCTATCTAATAATAATACCCTCATTGAAAATCGTGTTAGTCCGTCTTATGAAGTGTAATTCCATTAGTTAAATGTGGGGCTTCAGCTAATGCAAGAAGCCCCAGTCGGGGAGTATAAATACCTCTGGGGATGGAATAACTATTGTCACTTCTGGGCGGGAACAAAAACTTTGGACTCGGGAGCGGATAATAAATATATCTGAACAAAGAGACAAATGTTTCCTCTCTTGTTTTTGGCCTACGTCGTGGCTGTCAAGGTTTTCAAGAAAACCACCCCGAATGGTGAGTATCAAAAATCTTGTTCTTCTGGGACCAGTCATCCTCGGGAAATATTCCAAAGTTTATGATTTTTTGGGGATTATTTGTGAAAAGAGGAAAGGGGGATTAATGATTGGAATAATGGGAGAGGAGGGAGTCAGTCTAATTTTTTGGTAATTTTATTATTCATAGGGAAGGTCACCGTCTACCTCGGCAAACGAGATTTCATAGATCATCTCGATCATTGTGAACCTATCGATGGCGTAGTTGTAGTTGAAAATGATTATCTCCAGGGTCGCAGAGTTTACGGTCAGGTAAATGCCCTTTGAATGTGCTTCGTAGAATAATTTGTTTGGTATTCTCATTTTCATTCGTTTGCACTTTTTCAGATTGAAGGAAAATTCCATGAAATATTGTGATGTTTTTGAAATCTTCAAAAACCTGTAATTTTCATGGAATCGCAAAAGTTCTTCACAAAAATTCGTGGATTCCGTGAATTCTTCATTAAAAATTTTTTTTTTAATCTTCATATTCGAAATTTCTTTATTTTTCTGAAATTTCACGATGTATTTTTCACTTTTGTGAGGGCTTTTTTATCTCTCATGTCGTGCTACAGAAAAACTCCTTCAAAATCCAATGAAGACATCCTAGACAAGTACAATCAACTAATTTATTTTACGACTTTGAAATGTGTTTATTCTCCAAATAAAATTAGTTCTCATGTTCATAAATTCGATTAATCTTTCCTCTGAGTTGAATCATTTGGTTCTCTTTCTCCTTCAGATCATCACGACCTCCTGCTATGAAATTATTCTCTATAAATTAGAGCTAAATTTCTCTAAATACCTAGGAAAAGCCACTTCATTCATCTCCACCTTTCATCCTCACTGAGGAATGTATAAAATTCTCTGATTTAAAAAAATTAGAGATGTTTATTCTCCAAATAAAATTACTTCTCATGTTCATAAATTCGATTAATCTTTCCTCCGAGTTGAATCATTTCGTCTTCTCTCTCCTCCAGATCATCACGACCTACCGCTATGGACGCGAGGAGGACGAGGTCATGGGCGTCAAGTTCAGCAAGGAGATGGTGCTCCTCCGGGAGCAGATCGTCCCCGTGAAGAAGGAGAAGCAGGAAGCAACTCCAATCCAGGAGCGCCTCCTCAAGAAACTCGGGCCCAATGCCTTCCCCTTCACCTTCCAATTCCCCCAGAACTCCCCCAGCTCAGTGACCCTCCAGCCCGGTGAGGACGACCAGGGCAAGCCCTTAGGTGTCGAGTACACTCTCAAGGTGTTCGTCGGGGAGAATGAGGAGGAGAAAACTCACAAGCGATCGACCATTGCCCTTGCCATCAAGAAACTCCAGTTCGCCCCCATCTCACGCGGACGTAGACTCCCCAGCTCCCTTGTCTCCAAGGGCTTCACTTTCTCACAGGGTAAACTCAACTTGGAGGTGACCCTTGATAAGGAGATCTATTATCATGGTGAGAAAATCGCTGCCAATGTTGTCATCACTAACAACTCCCGCAAAGCTGTGAAGAACATCAAGGTAAAGAATAACTCTAGGGAAAACCCAGCGCATTCGCTAAGAAATTCTATTCTGAACTGATTTTGATTAGAATTGTATTAGAATTCTCTTTTTCTTTTTTTTTATTTGTTTTTTTGAAGATCGATTTTTAAAGCGATATTAGTAACCAGGGGTTGATGCCTGTAAGTGCTGATTTTTCTGTAAAATTATTGATAATATTTTTTTTAATCTGAAGAGAATAAGCTATATAAGAAGATAAAAATCTCCTGACTTTCTGCTATAAAATATCTACTGGAAAATCATGAGAAATCAGAATTCTAATAGATTTCTAGAAGAGTTTCAATAGAAATTGTATAGAATTTTCTAACGAAATAACTAGGTTTTTTCTGTCGAATTTAGCCGTGTGTTGAATAAAATGTGGTTTGAGTGTCTTTGAAATGAAGAGGTTTAGAGAGAATTATCAAACCGCTTTTCTATAAAAAATTTCAAGGGGTGCAAAAAGGGTCTGACGAGTAATTGTGTTAAACCCCTTAATTTTCAAGAAATTCGTCGAATAATCTAAAATTGTTCAAGCTCCAACGTCCTTTGCCATGAGGATTCAGAAAAAAACATCAGAAGACATTTCTTCGTAAAATCCAAACTCTTTCAATGATTCATTCGCAAAAGTTCAACTGCGAAAAAATTTCGTAGAAAAATCTAAAGGATTCGCTAGAAAATTCTAGTGGATTTCTATGAAATTTTTTATTAATTCTTGCCCGATTCTATTGAAAAATTTCTACACTTATCTGCGCGTGTTATTTCAATGGAAATGTTCAAAGGAAATATTCTACAGAAAAATAATCAACGGAATTCGATTTTTCCATAAAACTTCGTCTATTGAGACATTTTCTACAGAAATCACTTTTTAAATAAAAGAGAAGAAAAATAGTGGAAATTTTTTTTTCAAATTCTTGTCGAAGAATTCTTATAGAAAAACTTAGTACAACTTTACCTTTTTATACAATTTCTTCTATTGGACATTTTTTGCTCTAGAATTTTCCAATAGAAACGAAAAAAGCAATAAGAATCCAATAGAATTTTTTCTAGGCTTTTCAATAAAATTCCTTCATGACTTCCTTTTGTTTCGAAAATACTGGCAACCAAATCGCCCTGAATTCTCGAGTCGTTTAATCCTTCAATCCTTCATTTCCACCAAATACAGATGTTTGTTGTCCAACACTGCGAAGTCACAATGGTAAACACCCAGTTCTCTCGCCACGTAGCGAGTCTGGAGACACGAGAGGGCTGCCCCATCACCCCCGGTGCCAACTTCACCAAGCAATTCTACCTCGTGCCCCTCGCCAGCAGCAACAAGGACCGCCGTGGCATCGCCCTCGATGGACACCTCAGGGTGACTATCCCCCCAGAGACACCCCACCTCACACAACTCGAATCTAAGGATGTACTACACCCTTTCGGCCAAAATTCACGTTTTTTTTTTCATTTCTCAGGCCCATTATTGATCGGATTGACGCGAAATAAAATACCGTTTTTGCGTTTTACCATTATTGATTGACTCACGAAGTTTCATGGTAGTGCAATCATTTTCCTGCATTTTTTCTAAAGTTCTGTGAATTTCCGAAAAGTATTAGAAAAAACGCAGCAAAATGATTGCACGATCATGAAATTTCGTGAGTCTTAAAGTAACGATAAAACCAAAAACGGTATATTTTTACCAATTAACAATTTAACAATTTACCAGAAAAACTCAAAAAACGAAAATTTTTCGCGAAAAGGTGAAAATACATACTTAAAGTAGCTCTACCCTTCGGCTGGGCTACGCTGGACTTTTAGATATTTTCAGTTTTTAAATTTTTCAACTAAATTGCATGGAAAAAATTTGAAAAAATCATATCCAGTCAGTATTATCTAAATTAAATTTCCCAAAATATTGATATTTTTCAAACATTTCTCTCTTATAAATAAATAATAAAACTTGTTTGCAAAACGGTGCATTATTTTTTATGAGGTGTCAAAAAAATTCTTGATTTTTTCACATCTAATGAAAACAAATTCAGATTTTAATCTTTGATTACAATGGAAATGTTGATTTTCACATTAGACACTGCGTTAAATCCTGATTTTTAAACATTTCTTCTTTGAAAAACCAAAACGATAATTAAATTGAGAAAAAAAATTAGAATTCCGAATCAAGTCGAGTTTTCTGCAATTTTTTTGCAGTTCTCAATCATCTTTGAATTTACCGTAAGGGTAGAACTACTTTAAACTCGAGTTAATGGGATTGTTATCATTCTAGGACGACGACGTCAACCTCGCTTCGTCCACCCTCGTTGCTGAGGGCAAATGCCCAGCTGAGGCCATGGGTATCATCATCTCCTACTCCGTGAGAGTGAAACTCAACTGCGGAACACTCGGAGGAGAACTCGTGACTGATGTGCCACTGAAACTCATGCACCCAGCGCCTGGTAAATTCTTGATTTTTTCATTTTCGATGGGTGCGAGGTGGTAATCACTCGAAATTTCGGGTTCAGATTGAACTGAAATTCCGCGCTGATAGGAGTTATTCGCTGGAGAGAATGCGTGGTAATAATTCAGGGGCGAAGCGGTAAACTGTTTAAGGATATCCAAGTACTTTGGCTATTTTTTCTCCAGTGAAATGATTTTCTAGTTTTGGGGTCGAATGTCAGAGCTTTCACTTGATCCTAAGTTTCCGGACATTTTGCAATGATTTTATTCCTTAAACTTTACAGGTCTAAATTTGAAAATAGAAATTACATTTGAAAATTAGAAAGTTTACCTTTGGGGGAAGATTGAAATAATTAAAAAATTGCAATTTTTGAAAAAATTTATGAACAATCAATAATTTATTGACAATCAATTTAGCTACAAAAAGGGTCCAGAACATAATTTCAACGTCGTGCTAGATTCGGAGATATTTATCAAAAACTGCCACGGCATTCAGTAAAACGAGAAAAGTCTATTTTCGTCGGACTTTAGTTTTTGCTGAATATCTCGGAAATAAGGGGAGATAGCGAAATTCTTGGAGAGTTTTTTTCGTCCTTTTTTCCATGAGACTTTCGCTATCTCTCTTGCATTCACTCGTGAACAGGTAAAAACCAATTTCGTTCAGTCTTCCGATTTTTCTGAACATCTTCGAATCTAAAAGTGATAGCAAAGTCTCAGTAGAAACATTTTTGTAGCTTTCAGTCTGTTCCAAAAAAGATTTTTATAAGAACAGAATTTTCATAAATAAATAATGGAATCTGCTTAACAAATGGTTGATTATGTTCTATTACTTTTCAGGTAATTTCTCGATTTTTTCAAATAAAATTTCAGTTGTTATTCGCAACCAAAATCTGCTTTGCCAATATTTTTTCTTTGAAAAACTGAAATTAAATTTTTAAAAGTCATCAATTTTCCGAAATTATTGAGGCTTTGAAAATCACTTTATGGTTTAGTAAACTCCATTTTCTTGGAGAATAAAATATCCAATACTTAGTTTTCAAATTTTGCAATTCAATTATATTCTGCCACATCAGCATTTTTTAAAACATTTTTAAACAAGAAAAAATCAGATGTCGATTTTTATTTGCAACGAAAAATCTCAGATTTTAAATTCCCTCCTAAAACGTTGAGCTAATTTCAAGTTTCCAATACTTTTTCAATAAAAAACCACAACGGTTATTATATTTTGAATAATCTTGAATAATTTCCAAAATTATTGAAGCCAACTTTGTATTCAATGACGAACTCAATTATCTTGAAATTCAGAGAAGAGACAATAGTATATAACCACACGAGTTATAAAATTAGATTTCTTATGAATGAAAATGCGTAATCACATTCACTGAAACGAAATTAATTAAGAAGTGCTTAAAAATAACACATGGAAGCATTGATATTGTTAATTTGTATTGTTTATTCATTCATAAATTCATTCTGAATTCTCCCATCTCATAGATTCGAAGATATTCATAAAAAGCTCTTCCTCAAGTCAAATCAGCTCGTTTACCCACCTCGAAATCCCGGATAAACCCATCGCATTATAATGTATTTTTAAAAAATCTGTGTCGCAGGTGCCGTTGAACGTGAGAAGGCTCAGATCAAAAAGATGAAGAGCGTGGATCGTGCACGCTACGAGAACTCGTGCTACGCCAACGACGACGACGACAACATCGTCTTCGAGGACTTTGCTCGTCTCCGTCTGAACGAGCCCGAGTAACCAGACAACACGATTGATAATAAACATGATTAAATGATAAAAAAACGGGTCAGAGACACCTGATTACTCTGAAAGGACGGGATGAAATGACTGTTCATCTCTCGTCCTCAGCATCCAGAGGCCTTTTCCATTCATCGAGGAATTAAAGTATTAAATATAATTATCAGGATTGTATTATCTTCATGGTGCTGTTAATTAAATTGCCACTGGAGTCCTCTCAGAGTAATCAGCTGCCACAATAGCAGATAAAACGCGTGAACAGTGAAAGGTAAACAAAATTTGAAAATTAAGAAAAAATTAATGAAATAAGTGCTCTGGATTTTCGATTAGTAATTATGGAAAAGGTATTCAATTAAGAACAAAAATTACGGAAAAACTACAAAAAAGAAGAAAAAAAATAGTAAAACTAGAAATAAAAATAATATTTAATCGTCTCTGAATTTTCATTCGATGGTGGTGGTCGAATGGAAATTCCACTGACTAATGAGACGATGAAAAAAAAAAAAAATACACTGAAGTGAGCTTAAGTATTGTACCCCCTTTTAAGTTTTAAAATAACTTTTCCCGTTTTTCCAGAAGTGACTATTATTCTTTCTTAATTTAATTCATTTCATATTTAATGGATATTTATTCAATTTATTTATGAAAAAATGAATACTATGTTGATGCCTTGTATTGTTGAATTAAATGTTATCTGTTAGAAAGAGAAAAAAATATAAAAGACCAATCAAAAAAAGACTAGTTTATCCTCATGCATTGAACTAGTTATTTTTCGCAGAATCCAAACCTCTGGGGATCAGTGATGAACAGAATATTCAGTAAACGTTATATTCAATTTATTTTGTTTCATACAAAAAATGGATACATCGGTCGATCGATGAAACATCAAAAATATAGAAGTTGGGATGAAGAATGAAAGACTTTGAATCTTGGGGAGGAGAATTAGTCGAACATGTGGGAGTAGTATTCCTGATAGGTTTGGATGTATGCCTCTTTCTCAGCTGGTGTCATGGCATCTGTCAATGCCTCGTTGACTTCTGTTATTGGTACTGTTCTTCCACCGACAATCACTGTTGGTATCGCATCGTCGTCGTCTGATTCCATCACTTCGACGTCACCTGGAATTATTATTAATTATCTTATTGGTTATTCATAGACACATGACATGAATCCCAAAAATGAGAAAATAATGTCAAAATATTCCGGGTAATTTCCAGATATTTCTAGAATTTTAAAAACTTTTGAAAAATGTCGAAGAATTCGAAGAACTGTTTAACGAGAATTGGAGGTTTAGATACTAAATAATAAAAGTAATGAATATTGATAAATCTAAATGATTAAGTGGAAAAATTGATGAATAGTGAATAAATGATTACGAAGATGATATAATTTTAAAAAAATTGTAACACCGACTGAAACATTTTCTGATCACATCCTCTTTCATTAACTCTCCCTAAATATTCTTACGAATTCGAAATAAAATTTCATAAAAGTTGCATTCTTAAGATTTCAAAAAATCTTTTGAATCCATCAATCAATCACCGAAAATTGTCAACAAAATTCCACCTCAACATCCATAAACCCAAAAAATTCTCTTCAATAAAAAATAAAATGGAGAAGAAGATGAAATCACCAGTATCAACAGCCTGCATCTCCCCATGTTCCTCATTATCACTGGAGTCACTGGACTCCTGCGGAAGCACAGCTTTGACAGCGCTGACAGCATTAGTATTTCCCCCCTTCTTCTCATGAGCCAACAGCACAGACATGATATCCTCCCCCTGTTTGTGATTGGAATTAGTGTTGGTAGCAGTGGCAGCAGCTTTATCGAGGATGCTGTCCTGGTTGGCTCCATTATCCAGCTCGGAATTATCGTTGATGACAGTACTCTCCATCATCCAGATGGGTCTCTCCTTTCGTTTGTTGGCCGAGTCGTCAGTGCTCTCGTCGCCAATCGTCACATCGACTCGAGTGTCCTCCACAGCAAAGCCAGAGCCCCTGGTGGCCTCACCCGACCATTGCTCTCCTGGGAGCCTGATTCCTAGTTTCCTATTGTCGATTCTGAAATTAATTGCACTTTAGTAAATTCAAAAGGTCGGGTTTGAGGCTTTTTAACAGAATGCTTCAATTATTCCTGAAATAAAATACAATGCAAGCATCACATGACTCTGTTCTCACCCTCTGATCAGGTTTATGTCCACTGGTTCAGGCTCGAGAATCTCAGGAGCTAGTTTGATACCCTCAACCTCTCGTAGAAGAATGTAAAGTGGCTCCAATTGCTCGTTGAACTTGGCGAGCAATAAACGTGAGTCTTTCTTGGGCAGTGCTGACTGATCCTCCTCCACCATTTCACGACAGAATGTGCAACGAAACTCACCAGTCATCATGTCGAATAACTGGTCTGCCTAGTGATCAACATTTGGGTTTGTTTCCCATTTTTGTGATTTTTCGACGAATAACAAGAGTCTGTTTACTAAATTTTCGAGAGAATTTTGTAATAAAAGTGACCAACATAAATAAAATATGTAAATTGATGTCTCCATCTTCTGTTTAAATTAATAGATTAAATTTTTAAAAGAATAAATTGTTCATTCAGTCCTCGAAGAATTGATTTTGATACTTACCTCTAAATCTGTGAATGTCTTCAAGCAATTTGTACACTTAAAACTCGCTCTACTCGTGGCATCACGCTCCTCTGTCTCCAGTCTCTTCCTCATGAGGTCCAGTTTATATTTTACAACATTTACAAAAGTCTACGACAAGAAATTGCCGTGAATTATTTGCAAAATTAGGGCCCTGTGATTGAAGTGATGAATGACGTTACCTTGTAATTAATAAAGTAGTAATTGACTTTTTGGGCTTTGCCATCAGATCCAGTCTCCATCTTCAACCTCACCTGAATGAACTTGTCATTCCTGAGAGTCGCTATCTTCGCACGCAGCATCTTTCGCTCGAACTTGAGTAATTCGCAGATATCGTCTTCTTTCATGCCTTTGTCAAGACAAATAAATCGTTATAGAATCGTCCTTCGTTCGAGGAGCTTAAGCACGATTTAAATAAGAGAAATAATCTCACATGGATTCCTAACAAGCATGTCGACGATGAGAGCATCCTCAATCGAGTAGAAACCCCTGACGACGAGCCTCGCCAGTTGTTTGAGACTACTGGGCACTTCTGTCACCAGCCTCTCCTCCATTATTATTATTTTTAATTCCTACACTCTGTGTGAAGGACAATACAACGAACAAATGAGAAGTATTGAATGATTCAACCATTTACCTCGAGGTAATAAACATAGAAAAACCATTTTTCATGATTCTTCATTCTGTTTTAATAAACATTGTAAGTACTTATTTTTGATTGTTTTTTTTGTTTCATGTTAAAGTTATATGCCCGTTGAAATATCATCAGGAACAAGTACTATCATCCAAAATAATGAAAACAGTTTTTGATTTATCGTAAACACTTCATGGAATTTTTTATTTTAAATACACACGTGTGACTTTGCAAATGCTTATTGTTCTTTTTTTTCTCGTGTGAAGGTAAATTAATGATAAAAGACTATCAGAAACAAGTGGTAACCCTCAAAATTTTGGAAGCAATCTTCACTTTATCATAAATATTAAAATAAAGGTAATTAATCAATTTTAATGAAAATTTTCATTTTAATAAATACATTTGACTCAAAATCTATTCACATTCCAATTCTATTCTGTTTTTAATTATTCTCCTCCACAAAAAAACAGTACAAAAAACAGGTGAGATGTTTCAAATGTTCTAAACATTTACTCTAAAATAATAAAACAAAATACAATGCCCATTTTTCATTGTTTTTTTCTCATAGTGAAGTTAAATTAACTGTAAAAGATTATGAGAAGCAAGTGGTAACCCTCAATCTTCCCTTTATCATAAATATTAAAATTAAAGGTAATTAATTAATTATAATGAAAATTTCCATCTTAATAAATACAATTGACTCCGAAACTATTTAAATTCCAATTCTATTCTGTTTTCAATTGTTCTCCTCTACAAAAAAGACAAGACAAAGAACCCATGAGATGTTTCAAATGTTCTAAACATCCACTCCAAAATAATAAAACAAAAAAATACAATCAATTTTAAATACTCGATTATTCAATTTTAAACCTTCCTAATGTCCATTTTCAATTATTTTCTATCATATTGAATTTATATTCGCGTTGAAAGATTATCATAAACAAGTACTAACCTCCCAAATGATGAAAACAGTCGTCAGTTTATCGCAAACACTTCATGGAACTTTTTAACTTAAATAAACACATTCTATTATAAATTTATTCACATATTTACATCGCTTAAGGTTTCAATAATGCTCATTACTGAATTGTCATTCCCAACAATGTAGAGAACACATGTAAACACCTTGTTTATTCGTAAAGAAACTGCGGGTTAGGTCGGATCGTGTCGTCCACACTGTGCCACATAGACCGGTGGTAGTTTTGACAATCTCAACAAAATCTGGAGATAACCTGTCGTTTTCGTTTGTTGAATGAGTGATAAATGTCATATCGAGGGACAAATTAGATTAAAATTTTTCGCTGTTGTTGATCTATGGCAGCTATTGATAAAGTCAAGATTATCGTCGTTGGAGACTCAGGTAATAAATTGTTATTTAAGGGAGCGATTAGTAATCATCGGCATTGACGTGGCTTATTCTCACCGGAATTTTGGGCGATTTGATTGAATTTTGAATTTTTTTTTGCATGAGTGAAATAGTTCATAAGATGTTCATTTAGTAAACTTTTGTTCAGGGTTTGTTGATTGAGGGGAAGAGAATGTGTCGCATATGCTGAATTCTTTATGCGATTTGATGCGGAAATGTTGATAGTGTTCGTTATAATTAATTAATAAGAATTTGGTAATTGAATGGATTCATTTTTATTCAATGAATAACACTTGTTGGATTTGAATTTTTAAAAATCGAGGGGACAATGGGATTAACAGTTGTTTCATTTGTTGAACAATAGCAGTTTGTTAATTATTATCATGGACAGTAATTGGCAATTATTGGCCATGACGTGGCTTATTCTCACGGGAATTATCTGTGATTTAATTGAATTTAACCTTTTTTTTGCATGAATAAAATAATTCACAATATTTTCATTGAATCCATTTTTCTTCAAGGCTTGTTGAGTAAGAAGAAAAGAATGTGCAGCACATGCCGAATTTTATATGTCCTTTGATATAAAAATGTTGATATTGTTCTCTATAATTAACGAATAAAAAGAACTATTGATTTCAAAGGATTGATTTTTATTCAATGAATGGAAATTAATCCATTCAGAATAAGATCATAAAAATCTTATGAATCCCCCTAATAATTATCAATAATAATAATTAATAATTATTAATTGTTGATTGACGGGAAGAGAATGTGCTGTGAATTGCAATTCTCTTCATTACAATGAATAAATACATAAACAATCGATTGTTCTTCAAATTCACGAGATAATTGATTGAATTAAAAAATTCAATACCCAGCACTGTTCGTATTTAATTCTGCTACAGGGGTGGGAAAAACCTCCCTCACGCATCTAATATGTGAGCAACAAACCATAAACAATCCATCCTGGACGGTTGGTTGCTCTGTCGAAGTGAAATTACACGAATTCAAGGAAGGAACGCCCAATCAAAAGAGATATTTCATTGAACTGTGGGACATTGGGGGCAGCCAAAGCCACAAAAATACTAGACATGTTTTTTACAATCCCACAAACGGTAATTTTCCAATCAGCTCACTTCCTTTTCCCCTTTTTTACGTTCTGAACGAGTTTAAGGACCTCTGAACATTTTTATTCGTTAGGAATTATTCTGGTGCACGACTTGTCGAACAGAAAGTCCCAGCAAAATCTGCAGAAGTGGCTGGAGGAGGTCCTGAGTAGGGATGGAAACAGTGGGAGGTCTAGGTCCTTCGATGATTTCGATCCAGAAAAGTTTGTGGGTTCAACACAAGTAATATTTCTTCTTGCATATTTAATTCTAAAAACTGGAGATTTTTTTTGTCGTTTATCCTCTTCGCTTTAGTGTTTTTGATAATCAATTTTGATGATCTTGGGTAGATTCCTATTTTGGTTGTTGGAACGAAACTGGACTTGGTACCATCGAGATCTAGTTTACACAGGCGTTCGTCGACGATTGCTGAGGAGTGTGGAGCTGATGAGATTTTTTTGGTATGAGATAATGTGATAATGATAAATAAAATAATTCACATTAAGTGTTAACATTAAGTAAATATTAACATTTTGCCCCACATTTTTTGCGGCACTTTAAAAGCTGCTGTGAAAACTCCAGAAATTCATGAGGATTTGCAGTTTAAAACCTTCCAAGAACTTTTTTCAATTTCAAGCAAATAGGCTTAATGAAATGGCAAAAACCTCTGGGAAATTTCTACCATTTTAAGATTTAGGAAAAATACTTTTTGCGCTCTTTACCAGATGTTCAATGAATTTTTATGGACGAGATACAAAATGGATTGAATGAAAAAAAGATTAGGTGGGAACCCATTATGAAGATTATGATGATATAATTTTCAAAAAATAGTGATACATCGACCGAAATATTTTTTGATCACTTACTTCTTCATTACTTTTGTCCTCTGAATATTTTGATGAAGTCGGAAAAAAATTCCAAACAATTCCACGATATTCATGAATTTTCACAAAAATAAATTCGGAGATTTCACGAAAATTTCGCAGAATTCCATGAATTCTGAGCATTTTTAAAACTTAAAAAAAAATGTCCCTAGGGATTTTATCAATTAATGACGAAAAATGAATTAATGAGTAATTTTTCGTGCATTTTTGTAAATTTAGGATTGCAGTCAAGTGCGCTCCCTCGCTGCAGGCACGACATCCTCAGTAAAACTCAGCAGATTCTTCGACAAAGTGATCGAGAGGCGTTATTACGCCAATCGCGAGGGCATAAGTCCGGACAAGAGAAGACAGCCGGTTTATGCCTCGTCATACAGCCCCAAACTCTACCACAAAGACTAAAGTTCCCCGGGAACTGGACTAAGAAGAAGGACAATGATGTGATATACCAAGGCCTTATCTGTTCACTGGGCCTCCGAGCACCGTTGCATTATCACTCACCATTGAGATGATCATTTCATGGATAAAACATTCCTCTTATTGAATCGAAATACATAAAAAATATATTTATAAAATTGCATTCGGCATAAGTTATTACATTCCATTCCCCTCCATTTTTTTATCCACAATATTTCATGATATATTCGTAAAATAGGTTCATGAATACAATTCGATAAAGTTCACTGCATTAAAAAAATTTCAATTATCAAATGTGTTAGTTAAATTGTTTCAGAACATTCGCATAAAAAAATGTAATTGAAAAACCTAGGGAATGCGTTAAACAATACTATTGGATTTTTATTGAATTTTCTATTAATTTTTCGCCGATTCTACTGAAATGTTCAATAGGAAATATTCTGTAGAACATATTCCGGTAGAATAAGTTGTAAAGTCGAATTCTATTGAATTTATCTATAGAATATAAACTAAAAACTAACAGAAAGTTCAATAAAAATTCAATAGAAATGTCTAGAAATCTATTATTTATTTATTTATATTCTGTAGAATTTTTTCGGCTAAAAATTTTCCAAATTTTTTTTTTCTTGATGAAAAGAAGAGAAAAATAGAACGTATTCTAAATGTTAAATTTCAGAGGCATGAGCGAATTAATGGGAAAAGGGTGAAACGAGATGAGTTGACTTGACTCCAAAATGAATTTTTGATGAAACGTATAAAAATTCAATAGAAATTCTATCAGTTTTATCGACAGATTTTTTAGTTATCTCTAAAACTTCTTCGTGAAATAAATTTTACAAGTTTTTTTCTTATTCACAGAATAAATTTATTCAACGCTTTTCCATAACGTTTTTGTATTGAAAAAACTGCATGGAAATTGTTTGATTTTCTTGAAAATTTGAGTCGAGGAAATTCTATAAAAAATATTTCAATAGAATAAGTTGGACAGAAAAATCGAATTCTATTGACTTTGTCTATAGAATACTTTCTGCTCAACATTTCGATAGAATCAGCCAAAAACTAATTGAAAGTCCAATAAAAATTCAATAAAATTATCTAACAAATTCGATAGGTTTTTCTGTAAAATTTTTTTGTGCTTGACTTTAAAATCCTTCAATATTCCTGCCCCGGGCCCAGAAATTAAATTTACCGCCGACACAAATATCGGCCACAGTCGCGCCATATGTTCAAAAACTAGTCCAATGTTTTCAGTCGAGTCAATACCCCGAGCCCATTCAAATTTCCGTGACTGTTTGGTGGGACTCCGTGTTTGCGTTGTATCAACCGAACCACCCGAGTGCGATATTTTATCGTCACTAGTGAAAACAAAAGCATTTCCGTGATCACCCGAGGCTCTCTGGTGCATCGAAAATGGCACAGAATATCAATCCATTTTACTCATCGCCCAGTGCTAACAGCAAAGCCAGGGAGGAGAAGCAGAATGTACCCAAAGACAACCACGCAGTCAGCAAAAGGTGAGGGAGAGAAACTCGTCGTGTGTCAAGGAGTCCATTGGGGGCTCCAAAGCTCGACATTACTCCAATATTTTCATTCCCGCACATGTGATCACCACTTTTAGACACACGAGGGACGATTTTTATTGAGTTTAGAGACTCGAGGCGTTATTTTTCTTCATAACCTCTCACTCCTTCACAGTCGACTTGCCATGATGTTTTGTTTGGCTTGACCTGCATCATTCAATAATTTCAACTCGACGTATAGGTGAAAATGATTCATCAGTTAGAGGGTGAATTAATTAATCTGAATTGAATGAATGCAGTTTTTAATTGCTTTTGGGTAAAATTGGAGTCTTGGGTTTTTTTATTGTAGAGAACTCAAGGCTATTAGGCTATGGGTTTATTCATTTTCGGAAATTCTCTCTCAACTGTATCATTTAACAATCTCAACGTTAAATTTAGCCTCAAATCATGAATTAATTAACGAATGAACTAATTTAGGTGGAACGAATTAACTGATTTGCTTCGACTTGCACTGATGTTTCGTTTGGCTTGACCTGCATCATTCAATAATTTCAACTCGAAGTATAGGTGAAAATGACTCATTATTCAGGGAGTGAATTTATTAATCTGGATGGAATGAATGCAGTTTTTAGTTGTTTTTGGGTGAAATTGGAGTCTTGGGTTTTTTTTTATTGTAGAGAACTCAAGGCTATTAGGCTATGGGTTTATTCATTTTCGGAAATTCTCTCTCAACTGTATCATTTAACAATCTCAACTTTAAATTTAGCCTCAAATCATGAATTAATTAACGAATGAACTAATTTAGGTGGAACGAATTAACTGATTTGCTTCGACTTGCACTGATGTTTCGTTTGGCTTGACCTGCATCATTCAATAATTTCAACTCGAAGTATAGGTGAAAATGACTCATCAGTTAGGGAGTGAATTAATTAATCTGAATTAAATGAATGCAGTTTTTGATTATTTTTGGGCGAAATTGTGGGTTTTTGAGAATTGGAGTCTTAGGTTTTTTATCGTGGAACACTCAAGGCTATTAATTCTCGCGAATTCTCTTGTTCACACGCCCAACTTTAAATTTTGCCAAAAATTATGAATTAATTGAGGAATCAATGAATTTAGTTGAATCGAATGAGTTGATTTGCTCCGACTTGTCCTGATGTTTTGTTTGGCTTGACCTGCATCATCCAATAATCTTAAATCTAAATTTACCCTCAAACCATGAATTAATTAACGAATGGATCAATTCGAATGAAACTAAATTGAATAAATTGATATGCTCCGACGTGCCACATCGCTTTCTTCGACTTGACCTGCATCATTCACCAATGTGAATTCGTAATATAGTTGAAAACGGTTCATCAATCACAGAATGACTTAATCATCAATCTCAACTCAATAAATTTAAATAAAATTGTTATTTTTCTCTGAAAATTCCAGCCAAATGATCAATTCAGCAAAAATGGCATGAAGCAATTCGTCCCAATTATCATCTTACTCAATCGCTTTCCTTTCGAAACCTAAAAGCTTGCAGATTTCGTCACATTACTATCATCAACCGGAGACCCGCAATGTCCCCAAAATGACGATTGCACAGAATCCTCCGAGTCCCAATCCTCTCATTCCCTTCGACTCATGAATTCATTTATCTAGACTGCAGAAGGAGCTCATGGTCCTCATGATGTGCACCGAGAAAGGCGTATCTGCATTCCCCGATGGCGAGAATCTCTTCAAGTGGATTGGCACCATCACAGGCCCTCGTGACACTGTAATTACTCGTTTAATTCAGTGAAAATTTCTTGAATACTGTTGTTCGAGGTGGAAAATGGTTTATGATGTTATTTCGGGGATTTTCAGGTCTACTCGGGGCTGACGTACAAGCTGACTCTCGAGTTTCCCCACAGCTACCCATACAGTGCTCCCATCGTTCGTTTCGTCACCCCATGTTTTCATCCCAACGTCGATCCAGTTGGAAATATTTGTTTGGACATTCTCAAGGACAAGTGGAGTGCTCTTTACGATGTTCGCACCATTCTGTTGTCCATCCAGTCTCTTCTTGGAGGTAAATTAATCATCACTCAGTGTTTGGCCAGTCAAATCAGTAGTGAATCGGTAAAACGGTTCAAGTTGATTTAGCCTTGGCTGAGTTTTCGAGGAATATCTCAGAATCTGAGGGAGATAACGAAATTTTTGTAATGACCTTTTTTGTAGAGCGAATTGACAGCTGCAAAGAAGGTCATGACAAAAATTGCGTTATCTCTCTTAGATTTCGAGATATTCATTGAAAACTGGCCAATTGTCAAAATCGAATACATTTTTTTTCTTCTATTAAATAAAATCAATGTTTTTATTCAATTAATTGATTCTATAGTTTTTTTTATTCATTTTGTTTCTTCCTCAATCGTAGATGATCAAGTTTTTTACTCTATTTATGGAATTATTAATGAATTATTGATTATTTCGCCAGTCTATTTGACAATGAACCTGTGAATTTTATTTAATTGATTGAGTTTACCGTTTTATTCAATTATATAATTTATTTTGTTATGAGTTCATCATTTTTCATGTGATGTGTTTAAATAAAATAGTTTTTCTTTTTAATTTTAGAGCCAAACAATGACAGCCCCCTAAATCTCCAAGCAGCCGAGCTATGGAACGATCAAACTAAATACAAGAAGCAACTCCTCGAAGAGTACCACAAAGACGTCGATCGTAACCCCCAGGATTCATGATAAGCAAATATAAGCATTTCAAAATTTCATCTATATTATTACCATCTTTCGTACTGAAAAGAGGATTAAAAAGAAAAACAAAAACAACAAGTAATATTAATTATAAATCGAAGTAAAATGAAATAAGGAGTCTCGTCCTCCATCGATTAATTCAAATTGGCTCGTTCACCGATGAAAAACTCGGACTAGCGGCCTACTAGTATAAATTGAAAGATAAAAAGGCGTTAGTGTGGATTGATTAAGTATTATTGAAATTTGTGGTGAAAAAAAAAACAAGTGAATTCTAAAAAGCTGTCGAATAACTGAGTGTCTAATCGTAGAAAATTATCTGGTACTCGTCTGAAACTTATTTATTTCATTTTTTTTATGTTAGTGGATAAATTTCAATCGTCTCGAACAATAGGTGAAAAACAATAACAAAAGTATCATTGAAATAGGCAGGATTTTTTTTCCTTTCGTTCCTTGTCGTCTCTTTCTGGAATAAATATTTTTAATGTACAAACTAATTGGTCTCTGGTAATTCAGCAGATGAATGATCCCTCAAGTACACTTGGAGAAGTATTGGAATTTCATGAATAGTTGACTAGTAATTTTTAGGAGAGTGACATTGAAAGTGAAATATTTCAAGTTTAACTGGAATTTTAATGAAATTTTACATTTTTAAGCAACAGGAAGACCAGAAGTCCCGAACTGACTTCAATTTGCAATGGAAACATGAAGAGTTAATACCAAATTACGCTGAAGTTTCAATTAATTGAAAATTCAGGAATTTACCTGAAGTTTCCTGATTTCTATCGATTTTAGTGGAATTATTGACCTAAATTTCACTTTTTCCATGGGTTTTTCCAACAAATTTTGGATTTCCAATGGTGGAATCCCTTTGAATTTTAGTGGAAGTTTAATGTGATATAAAGGGAATTAGATTTCGGAGGAAAAAAATCGTGAACCTTCAGATGTCACTGGAAATTTAATGAAACTTCACATTTTTAAGCACCAGGAAGAGCAGAATTCGTCAACTGATTTGAACTTTTAATGACAACATAAATAATCAATACCAAACTACGTTAACTTTTTGATCAATTAAAAACTAAAGAATATATTCACCTGAATTTTCGTGTTTTCTATCAATTTTCATCGAATTTTTCCGTAAAATCACGAATTTCAATGATGGAATCCCTTAAAATTTCAGTGGAATTGTAATATGACTTATATTTTCTTGAAATTGAATTCGATTTCAGGGGAGGAGCTATGAAATTCCGCATTTCATTAAAAATGCAATGAAATTCCACATTTTTAGCAGCAAAAAGACAAGAATTCCCCAATTAACTTGAATTTTCCTGATTTCTATGAATATTCATGGACCCATGGACCCAACATTTTCATTCTCCATTGATTTATCCACAAAATTCTGAATTTTCAACCATTAAATCCCCCGCAATTTAATTGGAACTTCAATCCGATGAAAATTACCTGTGAATTATCCCCGAAACATCACCCAAAAATAGTCAACAATCCAAGACATAGCCCCCAATTCCCTGCATATGACCCCAAACACAAAGAAAGTAACTATCGAGAGAAATTTAATCCGCTTGAATCAATATTAAACTCGAATGACCTTCAGACTCATGTCTGCCAAAGTGACAGTCCAAAATCCTCGATAATAAACAGCCCCTCGATCAACTGCTGTATTTATCGTACTCTGACAGCCAGAATAGCCCTGCAACAACGCGAACGATGGTGTCGAGAGTGTGCAGAGTCGTTCTCTTTAAGAATCCCCTTGCCACCTCGATAAAGTCGTTCCTCGATCCCCGAGGGACAATCCGCTGCTCATCGATCGCTTCGACTGCAGTTGAGGTAAGCAGTCATGCCACAATTTGAAACTGAATTAAATTCAGGATGTGGAGGACTCGATGGGTTTAATTAACCGATGTGTTCTAATTGACGACAGGAACGAAAAGTTAGAGTTAAGGATGTAGAAATTAATTATGCCAGGACTGGCAGTGGAGAGCATCCGGTTTTACTACTCCCTGGAGCCCTGGGTGAGCACTCAACATATTTGAGATTACCTTAAAAATTGAGATAGTTTGCAGTTTTAGAAATTGAGATAGTTCCCAGGAAGGAATGCAGTGAGTTAATTGTTATCACTTGATAGAGAATTAGTGTTAATTATTGGAGCCTTATCAGGCTGTTGCATGTGTTTGTGGCAACGAGTTGGTAAAACAGAGAATGAGATATGTGAGGGGTGGAGATGCTGCCACCTCTGATAGAGAATTGAATGTCGTGATGTCGGAGAAAAGAGATGTAAAATCTCTGATTTTCTGAGAATTTTGTGAATTTTTGTAAAATTGTACAAAAGGTTTTGGAATATTTGGAATTTTGGAAAAAAATAGGAGTGATACTCCGTTGGTTCCACCACTCGAGTAATGATTCTAGTCCACTTGGGATTTATTTTTGATGAATATCTAAAAATTGCAGAGAGAGAGTCAATTTTTTTGGGTAGATCTATTTTTAAACTCCTATTTTTCTGCGCAAAAAGAAAACGCAGAGTAATTCACTTGTTTATGTCTCTCTGTTGGGAGATATTCACAAAATTTTCGACATAAAGCAATTTATAATGAAGATAAATAGAAAAATTGTGAATTGAATTGAAGCATCGTGAAATTTCAGGTTTCACTGAAAATCCAATGAAATTTCGAATTTTTGAGCAGTAGGGACGCAATAATTCCATGACTTACTTGAATTTTAACCGAAAATATGATTATTTAGCACCGAATAACGACGAATTCTCGATTATTCTTCAATTACGTCGCCTAAAGGAGTTGACCTTTAGGCATCATTATTCAACTCCGACATGAGATATTCACCAAAAAATTCTAACATGAAGCTATTTAGAATAAACAAAAGTATCTCTGACAGAGAGAATTGAATTGAAGAATTATAAAATCTCAGATTTCACTGAAAATCCAATGAAATGTCAAATTTTTGAGCAGCAGGGAGGCAACAATTCCCCGACTCACTTCAAAGTTTATGAGACTATTTACCAGAATTTTCCTAAAATCATTGAACTGAAATGACGGAATTAATTGAAATTCCGCTGTAACTATACTGCGACGAAAATTTCGAAGAACTGCACCGGAAATTATAACCTTTCGGCTGCAATTTCTTAATTCTAAATTCTTAATTCAGTTTTTATCCCTCTTATCTACTCTAGGCACCATTTGGACTGACTTCAAGCCTCAAATCGAGGGCCTAGACAAAAATAAACTAACAATAGTAGCGTGGGATCCTCCGGGCTACGGAAAATCGAGACCCCCAGACAGAAAATATCCCGATGATTTTTTCGACAAAGACGCGGATTACGCTCATGAGTTGATGAAGGTCCTGGGGTTCCCCAGGTTCTCCCTCGTAGGGTGGAGTGACGGGGGCATCACTTCACTCATCCTCGCTGCGAAGAACCCGCAGAGCGTCAGAAAAATGGTCGTCTTGGGAGCGAACGCTTACATACTTCCCCATGAAAGCAAAACTTACGAAAGTACACGCACAATTTCTCATATAAATAAAATAATAGTTCATAAAGATGCGTTTGCTTCCAAATGGAAGCTTTGTAATCAAACAAGTCTTACTTGTGCCGAGAAAATAGTTTTTTGAAAATTATCAAAAAAGGATTTTTTTGTGCCAAACATGCAGAAAGTGCGCTGGAATGAAAAATTATTGTCGCAAAAATAGATTTAGTAGTTCAAAAAAAATTGCATTCTCCGTACACGCAAGAAATGTCATTTCTAGCACTACTCCTTCGTTATTCGATTCTCCCATACGTATTTTGCTCCCGAAAAATCTTTGTTTTATGCGAAACAAGGGATAGTAGTTTTTCGTTCCGGCTGTCTAATAATCACAGACAAGAAATGAACCCTTAAATGAAACAATAATAATGATATGATAGCAATCTTGTAACTTAGGGATAAAATATTTGTTGATAAATTTTCCTCTGAATGAGATATTTTCATCCTGAAAAGGCACCGTCTGGTGTGAATAATCCGCCTCTTGAGCCAAATATTTCATTGCTGTCGAAAGCAGCACAATTATTCATGAGACTCAAATTCGAGCCAAACAAATTCTTTTTTGGAAATTTTCAACTAGCGATTTTGTTGGCCCAAACAAGACTTGTTTGACAATGTGTTTGTTTATGTCTTAGTGTAGACTTGCGATTAAATTGCAATTGATCCCTGATTAAAGCCTCTTCTTCTTCTACTCGTTATGGCTATATCCTCAAACTCTAAGAGAGAGAGGCAGGCCCCATCTGATTAAACCCTGACTGAAACCGAATTCGAGTGTTTAGAGTGTCCGAATACAGGATCATTCCTCCAAAGAATAAAATAATACGCAAAAATTTTGATAACGTTTAAATTTACGAAGAGGATACTAAAATTGGAATTCCAAAGAAGAGAGAATCCATTCAGAAGGAAATTACTAAGTTATTGAAAAATGCAATTATCCAGTTGTTATTATTAAAAAGGTATCAAGAACATCGACACATGGTCAGAGCGCATGAAAGCGCCACTAATGGCCATTTATGGTGAAGATTACTTCAGAAAGACTTGGGCAGCGTGGGTCGAAGCTATGATTAATCTTTTCGAGAAAAATAATGGTGACCTCTGTAGAGATTCAGTAGCGAGGATTGTGTGTCCTACGCTCATAGTCCATGGGAAAAAGGACGTCATGGTTGATGGAGAACATGCGGAGTATCTGAAGAACAATATTTCGAATTCTCAGTGAGTTGATTGCCTCCAGAAAACAATTTCAAAATTTGCCTCAATCCCAAAACGAGAATTAAAAACCAAGAATTAAATAAATAATCAGTAATATTCAAGTGCAGCGTAAATCATTGGAGTTAGAAATTTTTAAGACTTCGAATTATTTATTCATAATGTAATGAGAAAGAGGATAAAAAAATCTGAAAAAATATCTCATTTTTACCCATAAAATGAAGATTTGCAAAAAGCCTCATTTAGTTATATTCATAGTCACTTTTGAAGATTCCATCAATGAAAAAATCAAAATTTAATTTTTTGCATTAAAACTGAAGTAGTAAACTTAGTAAGAACTTCATGAATAAAATTTTACTGCGGATTTCACGGAACTTCAGTGTGATTGATAGATAAAATTTTATTGATTCTTTGTAGCGCATGAAGTTCTCCCCAAAAATTGTCTCGACATTTTCCTCTGAACCTCTTCTTCCAGGAGACATCCACGAAATAGTGTGGATTAATTTTCGATTCGACTTTTTTTCAAGCTCAATAACATTAAAATTGAAAGTCATAAATTACTAAATCTGATCAATTTCAGGCTGGAGATCTTCGAAAAAGGATCCCACAATCTGCACTTGAGATACCACGAGGAGTTCAACCAGCTGGTGACTCGATTTCTCCTGGGGAATTCTTGAAGACTGCCTTTTCCGTGAATTCAGAATCACCAGTTCTTGCATAATTCATGTCATAATGATCGCAATACATTTTTTACAAGCCCCACCGCATCTGTGATTGCCACTCTCCTCGTACTTTGACGAAATAAAAATGATTGAACAGGAAATAACTATTTTTATTTTCATCGAGTGTAAACTATCAATGAAGTGACGTGGCGCGAGTGGGATAACCAGTTGGAGATAGGGATGAAGGAAAAAACGGCCCGTGGGTGGCTGCATTGGTTTCATATGCCACTTCCATTAAAATTTCATTTTAACTTCGCATGAAGAGGGAGAAGTTGAAGAGTAAAACAGGACGTTTTTTTATTCTGTACTTATTTCTTCAAAAAAGCTCCTACAGTTTAGGAGAAACCACCGATATCCGTTCGATTTTCTTGTACTAATTCAGTGTCGATGATGAAAAAATGAATAATCTTGAGTTTCTCCTTTTTTCGATCCATCATTTCAAGTATAATTTAATAAACCAACATGTCAAAACACATTTTTTATCGTCAACGAAAAAATCTCCGTCATTTTCCCGCATTATCGAGATAATCATCAAAAATCAAATGAAACGAGAACCCAAACACTTGTTAGATCTTCTCAAAGTAATGCAGTAATGGGTGAATGAAAGCTGAATAATCTTGAACCCCTCTTTTTTTTTCAGTCATCAGATTAGGTATAATTTCTTCGACTGTGAACAAATGTCTTTGAAAAGATGAATGATCTTCATCCCCGCTTTTTTATTCAGACAAAACAATTTCAAGTATAATTCAATGAACAGAAATGTTGAAAAACATTTTTTCATTTCCAACAAAAAAATCTCACGTCATTTCCCTCTAGACCCTCCCCTCATTATCAAAATAATCATCAATAATTTAATAGAATTCAACCCTAAGGCTTAATCCCCTCTGTTTTTATATCACAATTTCAAGTATATTCCAATAAACGAAAATGTCAAAAAACATTGTTTATCCCCAACAAACAAAATCTCACGTCGTTTTCCTGTCACCTCATTCTTAAAATAATCATCGAAAATTGAATAGAAAGAAAACCCAAACATTTAGTTAATAATTCAATAAACAAAAATATAAAAAAAAAATTCTGTGGTGAATTAGTAAACGAGGATAATTCCTTTTTTTCGTAAATGCATTTTATTCTTAAATCGGTTGCCAACAATTTGTGGAAGCAGTTTAGCAAAAATTTTTTTTTGAAAAAAATGCACTTATTGTCCTAGTTTACCAATTCATAAAAAAATCTCTCGTCATTTTCCTCTAGATCTCATTATCAAAATAATCATCAAAAATTGAATAATATGAAACCACAAACATTTAATCAATAATTCAATAAACAAAACTCAATAAACAAAAATATTAAAAAACATTTCTGTTGTGAATAGGTAAACGAGCATAAGTGTATTCTTTCGAAAATACGTTTTTTTGTTAAATCGCTTGCCAACAATCTGTGGAAGCAGTTTAGCAAAATTTTGTTTTCCAAAAAAGAACACACTTATCTTAGTTTACCAATTTATAAAAAAATCTCGTCATTTTCCTCTCGATCTCCTCATTACCAAAATAATCATCAAAAACCGAATAAAATGAAACCCCAAACATTTAATCAATAATTCAATAAACAAAAATATCAAAAAACATTTCTGTGATGAATTCGTAAACGGGAATAAGTGCATTCTTTCGAAAATACGTTTTTTTGTTAAATCGCTCGCCAACAATTTGTGGCAGCAGTTTAGCAAACCTTTTTTTCCTCGAAAAAATGCCCTCATCTTAGTTTCACCAATTTATAAAAAAGTTAAAAACCTCTCGTAATTTCCCTCCCATTATCAAGATAATAAAAAAAATCACTTAAATTCAAAACGCAAACACTCGACGTGTTCTACCATCTCGCTGTAATTCAGTATCGATGATGGAATGATGAACGACGGGGAGATATTTTATACGTCTTGAAGTCTACGTGCATGACCGTCCGGTAACGCTCCGCTGCGTCCTACTCCCCCAGGGTACCGCGGGGTCCCCAGGCCGAGATAGACGTCACGCCCTTCCGTTTTTTATTCTCGAACAAAAAGAACGAATGCATTCACCTTATCCCCGCCGACTTCTCCATCGCAATGCAGTGGAAAAAAAAATTTTTTCTTCAACAGGAAGAAATTTTCCATTCTCATCCCACAATATTAACAACTCCCGGCACTTGTGGTCGCGTGTACCTCAACGATGTGTGAATAAAAATCAACTTGTCCGCATTGCGCTGTTTAGGGACCAAATCGATGATTTCGAAGGAGGCACCTCGATACGCCAGAGTGACTGCAAATGCTCCACCATGGGTGGATAAAATAATCGTTTCGAATTAAAATTGGAGATGTGCTCCAATGGAGATGGTAGGTAATTGGCCAGTTGGTTTGGATGCAGTTTTTTTGTTGTTCTCAGAGACACTGATGAATGAAAATTATTCCCACAATAAATGAGACTGCTCTTCCGTTATGGAAAAATAAACTGATCTCGTGGGTATTTTTAAAGGCGGTAGAAAGTGGAATTGTGCTACTTATGCAGTCGATCACTCCATATTCGTATTTTAGCCGGGTTGACATCATGAATGTCGAGTTTTATCGGCGAAAATGGGGTAATCATTCAATTTTTATGGCCTCGATTAAGTAATTATGAAAAAATTTTTCTTTATGCAATTCACAGGCACCCAGACCGGGGATCGGCACCGATCAGAACTTTTTGGAAGATTACAAAAATTATTAATGAATAATGAGTGTGACATTAGGAACTATAATTGAGAGATATGATTAACAAAATAATTATTTTGTTAAGGCATTTCAATTATGGAATTGAAAACTGATTAAGTGATGGTAAATTGGTTTGAAGTGATTGATGAATGTGGAAATAGTGAACGTTATTCCTGACATTCGTTAGTGATTTTTAATGTGAGAAAATAATTATAATTGGATATTATAAATTGGGGTATTGGTAATCCGGAGAAATAGTTCATTTCAGACAGATAAATATATTTTTTTAAACAAATATTTTCTTAATCCCAGTGAGGATTTTATCAGTTAAGGATTGAATAATTTATAGGATGGCGAAGAGAACGAATTTAAAAAAAGGTTTTATTTGGAATTAATGAATTATTTATTCTATGTAATCAAAATATTTTTCATTGAAACGAATAGAAAATTTCAAGTGAAGAATTTTATTGAATTCGTTAAATGCGTCATTTCTCTGGGTGTAATTGACGAATTTGTGAAATTGTAGAGGAAACAAAGACAATTCCGCCGGTCTTCTGAAAATTCATGGAAGCAACAGCGAATTTCCCGGAGATTCTAAAAATTCTACAGCTCCCTTTTTACCGAAATTAATCATCTGCACGGAGAAAAAATGTTCGCCGATTACGGAATCGACTCAGGAAATTTAAGTGACGGTATCGTAATTTTTCACAGGAAATTCAGATAAAAATTACGGAACGCTCTGCAAAAATTCCATGACAGTTCCGTAAAATTTCCTACAACCACATCTCGCTCCGGAATTACGGACAAGATACGTAATTTTTATTGAATATTTCTCTCCGTGTGTGTCACGAAAATCACAGGGGCGAAACGGGCCCTTTTTCAATTACGTACGGAATTTTCCAGCATTTCCATGGCGCCAATCCCAACCTTGAATCTCATCGAATTTTAGAACAATTGATCTACCCCATTTTAGTTAAAGGATAATTGTTCTCCTGTAAAAACCATTAAAAAGACAGGAAAAAATCGTCTTGCATGAAGAAAAGAGGACCAACGGGTCGTTCCACCAGGAGTTCTCGAGATACTAGAAAAGAGAGTTGTATCAATTGAAAAGTTTCTCATCTGTATCAGGGGAACCGCTGGGGCGAAACGAGCCTTTTTTTATTCGAGATAAAATTTCTCGATCTTTTCAAGGCCAACATGAAAAAGTTTCTATTTCGATTGGAGAATAATTTTTTTCCTGCGCTAGCTTTATAGAATTATAATACGTTGTCAAACAAGTCTTGTTTGGGTCAACAAAATCGCTAGTTGAAAATTGTCAAAAAAGAATTTGTCTGGTTCGAATTTGAAAGTTTCAAACATGAATAATTGTTCTGCCTTCGACAGCAACGAAATATTTGGCTTAAGAGGCGGATAATTCACCCCAGACAGTGCCTTTTCAGGATGAAAATATCTCATACAGAGGAAAATTTATCAACTGATATTTTATCTCTGTTACAAGATTGCTATCATATCATTATTATTGTTTCATTTTAGGGTTCATTTCTTGTCTGTGATTGTTAGACAGCCGAAATGAAGAACTACTATCCCTTGTTTCGCATAAAACAAAGATTTTTCGGGAGCAAAATACGTATGGGAGTATCGAATAATGAAGGAGTAGTGCTAGACATGACATTTCTTGCGTGTACAGAGAATGCAATTGTTTTTGAACTGCTAACCCTAGTTGGTCACCATATAAGAATTTGCGACTTGGTCACCTCCGCAGGGAATCGCCGCCGTGTTATTTAGGCCTGAGCGTTGCCGAATTCACTCTATACTGCCTGGGCGCGTTTAGCGAGACTTCGGCAACGTCGCACAACGGGCAATTTCATTTAACATGAGAAAAAATTGCCCGTCTGTTAGAAATAATTTTTTTCCTTCTGGAATTGTGGATATAAATAATTTTAAAAAATATTATAATTTTCTAGACACTTGAATTGACGCATTCCAATTTTTTAGGATTTTTCCGCTCAGCCAGTCAATGGTAAGAAAAAAAAATCGACCTTCTGCGGCGTTTCCTCCTATGGTGACCAACTAGGGCTAAATCTATTCTTGCGACAAAAATTTTTCATTCCGGCGCACACCCGCATGTTTGGCACAAAAAATCCTTTTTCGATAATTTTCGAAAAACTATTTTCTTGGCACAAGTACGACTTGTTTGAGAACTTTGTCGTTTCTCTTTCAGTGTCCGTATTCCTCGAGATCAGCTCTGGTCAAATTCTTTCCGGAATAAATCAGAGAGATGTTATCACCGCTGGGTCAAGTTAATGCATAGTAAGGTGATTTAAAATTCCCCAGTGGATACCCTCGAAGATGGTCTGAATAACAGATGACGCGTCCAGCAACCTAGCGAGTTAGCAACACAAAACTACTCTCTCTGGTCATTTCGTATACCTGAGTTCTACCGAGCAGAACTCCACCCCCGTTTCACGCCACACGTTTCATTATCATTTATTTTATTTCGGAGAATTTGCAAAGTCCACCGGATAATTGTGGTCATAACGATGTACCCAGTGTACGTAATTAAGTAATCCGGAGTGATCCATAATCCTGAATATGTTTGTGAGTGCACGGTTGAGGGGCTTGAGTGCTGGGTGGAAGGTACAAACGCGTTCCACAACCGGTTCCCCGTCAAATCCACGGCCTTTCGAGGAGATTCCCGGGCCCAAATCACTACCACTCATTGGAACACTGCACAGATATCTTCCGCTCATCGGTAAATAAACAGAGAAATTAAAGTACTTTGAACCTATTCAGAAATTGTCTTCAATAAATATCAATGTTCGAATTAATTGATTCGTTTATTTATTTTAATAAACCGGAGACAGTGAAAGATTATCGATTTGATAAGTTATTTTTATAGCATATTTTCTCTGTTTCAACAGTTTTTGTATTTTAATAGTTGAAAAAAATGATACAAAATTAAAAAATTGCAATTAAGTAAATTACTCTGGAAATTCAAGATTACCTCTTGAATTCATTCATTTATTTAAATAAACTGGAAACAGTGAAACTTTATCGAATTGACGAGTTTTTTCTATTGAATATTTTCTCTGTTTCTTTAGTTTTTTCATTCTATTAGTTGAAAAAAATAATAAAAAAGTAATTAAAAAATTGAAATTAGATCGCTAGGATTTTCTGCTATATTTGTATGTAAATGAAGATGTAATGTCATTGGCTAGACATTGAAATTCCATTGGAAATTAAAAGAAAAAGATAAAGAATAACATTTCCCCTCATTTTTGTGTTGGAAAGAATATTCTTCATATTTATGAGAAAATTAGTTCTCTTTAGAGCATCGATAAACTGCAGTATGATTTCTCCTACATCGTTAAAAAATTACTCTTGAAATTCTAAGCGAAAGCCCTTGAAATTTTTAACAATGACTAATTTACACGAATTTTTCATTCATATTTTTACCGACAAAACCGTTGATTTTTGGAATATTCGATGAAATTCTAATTCTCGGGTAATTGCAATCATTATTATAAATTCGCAATCTATTGCAATTAATACGAAAATCTTTTGCTTTTTAAAAAATAATAAAAAAAATTCCACAAACGATCTGATTATGAATTGCCTTTAAAATTTAAATTCAAATTTCTAACCGTGCGATTTTCATATGATTCAGGGGATTATAGTTTCAAGAAATTACACAAAACCGGAGCGAAAAAGCTCTCGGAATATGGCCCACTGGTGCGAGAAGAAATCGTCCCAGGTGTGCACATGGTTTTGGTATTTAAACCCGATGATATTGCGGAGGTGTTCAAGAGCGAGGTGGGGAGATATCCGGAGCGCCGGAGTCATCTGGCACTGATGAAGTACAGGAGTGATAGGAAGGATCTTTATAACTCTGGGGGATTACTACCAACGTACGAAGCAATTGCAATTAATTAAACTCACGAAATCGACACCAAAAAATTCGAAATTTTTAAAAATTCACGATCGAGAATACCAAGACGAAAGAAAATTTTTTACAGAAAGCTCTAACGACTTCTATAGATAATTCTATCAGTCTTTGGCGGATTCTATCGCAGCTTTACTGCGCGTTTTTACAGACAATTTCTAATAAAAACTATTTTATTATGAAAATCAGTAGAATTTTATCGTTCTTTATAATTTTTTCTATTGAGACATTTTCTGCAGGACTTCCTCGACATGGATTTTAGAAATTTTTTCCGCTCTATCTCTTTTCTTTCATTGTAAAAAATCTGGGCGATAAAAACTTGGAAAATTTTAGTGGAGGAATTTCTATAGAAAATATATCAATAGAATAAATTGTGTATAAAAATCTAATCCTGTTGATTTTTTTATAGAATTTTTCAGCGAACGTTTCTATTAAAAGAGAAACGCCCAGATGAGCTGCAGAATTTTTCAATAGAATGGCCCAAAAACTAATAGAAAATGCAACGAAAATAGAACTTTTTGAGAAATTCGTTTTTATTCAATTTTTTTTCGTACGCGCATTCATGCAATCTCAGAAAAAAAAATTAATTTTAATTTTAAAAATTAAATTTAATACAAAATATTAGCCCCATATTTTGTCATTTTTATCGCTAATAAAAAATTAGGATTAAAAATGTCTCTATTATTAATGATTTTTCAAAAGAGAGGACTCGTCTCATTTTTTCCTGCAATTTTATTGATTTCATAATTTCATTCAATAGAAGAAATTCATTTAGCGAGTGAATTACCTACTGTTATCCTTTTTTTTCATTCCGATGTTAAACAATTTATCTATTCATTAGAAAAGGCGAACAATGGTGGAAACTACGAAAAGAATTCCAGAAAGACCTGAGTAAACCCCAAAACATAGTGAATTACATAGAAGAAATCGATAAAGTGATGAGAAAATTCATAAGCGTGTGTGGACCAGGATTCCACAGGGATCTGATGTCTCTCCTCTCTCGCTTATACCTCGAACGTAAATAGAACTTTCACCAGTCATACTACAATCAAGATCCAATGGGAATCCCTGTTATTTTAATACAAAAGAAACTAACTGTTATTTTAGTGACTTGCTTAGTCGTCTTCGACGAGCCCTTGGATGTGTTCTCTGAGGCACAAATGACGAGTGATTCGACAAGTTCGAAATTGATCAAGGCAGCCTTTGACGCCAACGATTTAATTCTAACGCTGGATCATTCTCGTCTCTGGAAATATTTTGAAACACCCAAGTACAAAAAATTCTGTGGGAATCTGGAGATCATGCAGGAGTAAGAATTTTCATGAATGTTTTAGGGATGGGTGCATCGAGATTAGTTTTTGCTTAATATATTTATATTTTTTTGCATTTATATACTAAGCACGGAGAGAAATTTTCTAGAAAAATTCTAGTACGCGTACTGGAAAATATCACAATCCAGTGTTGTTAAGGTAAAATTTCTTGGTATCTCTGTAGAAAAACATTCGTCAGGAGTTTTAGAGATGAATGAAAAATCTATGGTTGAAACTGATAGAATTTCTATTGAATTTTTATACGTGTCATCAAAAACTCATTTTGAAGTCAAGTCATCTTGTTTCACCCTTTCCCTATTGATTCGCTCATGCCTCTCAAATTGAACATTTAGAATATGGGTTTCCACTGAATGGCTGATATTTCAGGGTGGCTATTGACATGGTAACCCGAAAGGCGAAGAGAATGAAGGAGAGCATTGGAAATAAAAAATCATCGATTTTGGAGAACTACCTCAGCAACAGAAACGTTGATCTGAAGGACGTCGTGGGGGTAGCTTGTGACATGCTCTTAGCAGGGATAGACACGGTAATAACTAATAAAATTTCAGAAAACAACAGCAATTGCCAGAACAATTTTACAATCACTCGTAATAACGAAAAAATTGCAGTAGAGGAACATTCAATGCATGAAAAACGAATGGAAAAAAAATAATGAGTAGCAAAGTGAGTGAAAAATCTGTCGACTAAATATTTTCATATTTCTGAGAGATCGATCGAATAATCCTGAAGTGAAATTGATTCATCTCGTCTCACCCTTTCACATTTAATCATGAGAGAAACGAAATATTGGAGAATTAAAATTTTAGACAGCATACAGCACCGCCTATGCCCTGTACCACGTTTCAAGGAATAATAAAGTGCAGGAGAAACTCCGGGAGGAAGTAAGGAAACTTCTTCCGGAGTCTGACAGTCCTATAACGGCGGCAACACTGAGAGACGCGACTTACGTGAAGGCTGTAATTAAGGAGACTTTCAGGTTGAATCCAATTTCTATTGGTGTCGGACGAATTCTCCTGTCTGACGTTGTTCTCAGTGGATATCGGGTGCCCAAGGGGGTGAGTTTAATGACAGGAGAATTAAGGGGCCATTCAAATATTATGTCGTACGTTTTTTGGACATTCTAGAGTCCCTCTCCGCCCCGCAGTTACAAGCCGTCATAAGAAGCAAGAACTGTACGCTTCCTTTCGTGTTATGACGAATTTTTTACATTTCTTTTTTATATAATATATTATACTATGATATTACTAATATTATTTTTATTATTATATAATATTACTTTATATTAATTATTTTATAATAATAATAATATATATATTATTATTATTATTATATAATGTTATAATATAATAATATATTTTTGCTCGTAAATTAGCAATTTGCTTCTGAATGGAATCTCTATGACGATGAATTTGAAATTGAATTCGATGATGCATTGAATTCAACAATGCCCCAACGTAAAAATTTCTGACCTTTCTCTGAATATTGGTTTCAAAATGAATTTTTTCAACAACAGATGATGCGATGCTCCTTGAACATTTCGTAACTTATTAAATTAAATGAAAAATTTTGTCCTTATTAAATTGCTGCCAACATAGCATTTTTTATGATGAATATACGTCTTTAAATATAAAAATGTAATTTTTATTTTTTCTTCAGACCAATGTTGTTACTCAGAATCAAGTAGCCTGCCGATTACCCGAGTATTTCCCCGATCCTGACTCATTCAAACCCGAGAGATGGTTCAGAGAAAATCCAGAGTCAAAAAATGTACATCCGTATCTAGTGCTGCCATTTGGCCATGGCCCAAGAGCCTGCATTGCGAGGAGATTGGCTGAACAAAATCTACAGATGTTTCTACTTAGAGTAAATATTCTATGAATTTCAATGCAAATAAAATTGCAATGCGCAAGATGCAAGAATCGAACGTTGTTTTTAATTATTTATTGGAATTTTCAACAGATCTGCAGAGCGTACAGCTTGGAATGGAGAGGTGGAGTTCTAGATTGTCTGTCAGTGCCTCTGAATACACCAGACGGGCCAATTGCTGTGGAATTGACACCTATCGATGATTGAAAGGAGGGATTTAATTAATAAAATAATTCTAACTGCTCTAGTTAAATGGAATTACTTTTGAAATTTCAAGTTTTTGAAATTTAAGTCCGCAACCCCTTCCCTTGTTAAGTAAAATTTTCAGCCCTCCCCTATTATGCATTCCCCCTCCACCTCCTCCCGAAGTCCGAATTTTCGAAATTTTTTTTTATTTGACAATTTTATTTTTTTATTTAATTAACACATGCGAACGGAGGGATGGGGGTGGCTAAGATAGACTCCGCAATCCCCTCCCCTTGTTGAGTAAAATTTTCAGCCCTCCCCTATTATGCATTCCCCCTCCACCACCTCCTAGTGAAAAAGAAGTGGCCAAATTTTTTATATTGCCCCTAGTGGGGCAAAAGAAGTGGCCTTTCCCCACCATTGAGTTCGTTAAGAGGCCTAGGGATTGAAAAAAAACTATCGAAATGCGGGGAAAACTCTGCTCCCTAAATTCTCCGCCAAAAAAGGATAAAAAAATAAACTACATACCTCAAAAAATTTGTAATTTTTTAATTACGAGGATGAAAAGGAATGGGTTCGATCCGGATTCTCTAAATGGGTTAAAACTATTTTTTAATATATGAGGTAATTAACAGTTCTGAGAGGGGATCGCCATCTTGCCTAGGAGTGCAGGTGAGTCGAAATCAACATTTATATTAAAAAATAATTTCACCCCATTCAGAAAATTCGGATTACCCCCATTTCTAAGAGGATGGCCTCTTAATTAAAAAATAACAAATTTTTTGAGCTATGTCTTATATTTTTCCATGCCTTTTTGGCGGAGAAGTTAAGGAGCGAAGTTTTCCCCGCATTTCGGTAGTTTGTTTTTGATGACCAGAGTTTGTGGAGCAGAGATGTCAGACAAGATATGAATGTTTTTTTGGCTCAAATGAAAGAGCGGGTCGAGAAATAGCGTGCAGAAGTCTTTAAAGATGACAAATGTCTCTAAAGATGATGTCTGTTTTCAATTGAAAAGCGCAATTGTGACACAAAACTACTTCAATGAGGAAAAAAATAAAAATTTGGAATATCTATACATGAGGGGCTAATTGATCGGATCTCTCTTAACGTGTAGTGGTAAGTGCGTGTGCCTCCCTGCGCGACGAGAACCCACAGTCCCACTACAGGAGAAGTGAAACAGACAGAAAACTCTCCACTCTCTCTCCCCGTTTTTCTTCTCAAGCCACGCCCTCCACAGAAGAGTGGGGGAGTTCTAAGACGTTTCAGTATACAGAATTGTTAGCCCCGAAGCCAAAATCATGGAAAGACTCCGCTGTATATTAAAAATTGCATTCAGTACTAGCATCAAAAATTCCATTCAATTCTATACGATTGAGTTAACTATCTGGAGTTGAATTTTGTTCTAGAAAGTCCTGGGAATCAGCAAACTCTTCAGTAGTTGGGAGAATAACACGGTTTAAAATGGGCTTCATGTCAATGCCAACTCAATTTTGTAAAATTGTCAAGATACGAAATTCTCATAAAAGATAGGAATTTTTATGGATTTGTTTCCAAATTGGATTCAAGATCACCAATTATTTTAATCACCCTCATTCTGATTATTCTGTTAAATTCATTCGCGAAGAACCGAAGAATTCCGCATTGTCTGGACGTGGGGATCGATAGAGCGACGAGTGGATGACCCCGAGGAAGCGGTCATGCAAGTGCATGATCGAGCCTGCACTCACGTAGATTAGAAAGAAAATTTAACAAAAGAGGGAATAAAATGGAGAAATGAGAGATGAGAATCATCGGTTATTTTCCTTCGGCCTAATAGTAAAAAAAATAAATTATGTCGTTGGAAATCTATTGGGATTTAACAGACTTTTTTTTCATTTCCTATTTGTATTGGGATTTTCTTAAAATTATCTGTTTGTTAATATTTAACAAATGCGGATGGAATTGAATTTATAACAGAATGAGAATTAATTTTATTCGATTTTTCAGTGGTAAAATCCATAAAAAAATTCATTTTCTACATTCGTTCCAAGTATTTTCCGCATTTTAACTGCATCATCTTGCGAGGAAAAAATAACTAATTATATGAAATTCAATGCTGAAAGATGATGGAATAATAAAGAAATCATGGAATTTCTCAAAATTTTCCAATAAAATCGGCCAAAAACTGATAGAAATTTAATAGAATTTCAACATAATTTTCTAGCGAATTCGCTGGTTTTTTTAAAAGAAATTTTCCTGTATGTTCAGCGACTCAACAATTATCCCCAGGCGAAAGGATGATAAACCCCTCGAACAACGAACCCTTCGCCTCCGCCATCCCATAAAAACCTCCCTATCCCCTCAATCAATAAGCCCCAGCCTATTAATTCCTCATACCCCACGACTGTCGCCAAAATTCGATATTTCGAGTCACGTTGGAGCGAAAAATATTGGACATCGGTGTAATAAAACCGAAAAAAAATACAGGAGGGGAGAGATTTCTCGGAAACGTGGGCGACGTGCATGGTAATACGGTTGTTTGTTGTTGCCCACGCGCGCTCAGATGCCCTCGTGACGAAAATTCAGTCGAGAGTTTTTTAAAGGAGGCGAAGCGTTTTATATCGCATTCGCTTTTGGCCACATTTTGGACTGTCACTCGTGCTGGCTTTAAATGGATCCTTCCTTATTGACCTCAGCCCACGGCTTTAAACTCGTTCCATATAAGTTTTGCTCCATTTATGTCTACTCTTGAGTTAATAAGAATCAAGAATCGATGGAGAAGTTGAGGATTTAATTAGGTATTTTATTTTTATTTTATGTAATTAATGTAATTGGGAGAGTTCTGGGTGTCTTGCACTCTTAATTAGGGAATTCCCTCGGGAATTTGTGACTTTTGAGGATTAAAAATGTATTGAGACATATTATTTAATAAAGTTTAGAGAGTTAAAAACGTCTTTTGATTTTTCGTCTTCAAATGTCTAATTTCGGGATGGCTACGTGAATCGATGAAAAAAATGAGGATTTAATTAGCTATTTCATTTTCATTTGATGTAATCAGTGGAGTTTTGGGTGTCTTGCACTCTTAATTATGGAATTCTCTCGGGAATTTGTGACTTTTGAGTCTCGAAAATGTCTGTATATTGAGATATATTATTTAATAAAGCTTCGATGTTTTTCAGAAACGTCTTTTGGTGTTTTCTCTTGGAATCCCCAATTTTGGGATGACTACGTAATGATAAGATTCCATAAGCTACTATCATCACCTTTATTTACTTTGAAAACAGAGCTATTATCGCCTTTAATCACTTTAAAAAGAGAATCGAATCAGTGATCATTAAAAAATGATTAGAGATTACGGATTATGTGTGTCAATCAGGTATTTGATTTTCATTCGTTGCGACTGGGGGAGATTCGGAAGTATCCGGCACACTTCATTATGAAATTGTCTCGAGAATCAACGATTTATGAATTAATCAATGATTTATGCGTTTTATTGAATCAGCCATATTTGAGGAATTTGTCATGAGCTATAAAAAAGACTTTTGATATTTCGTTTCAAAATCTCTGACTGTTCCAAAATCTTCAATCACCTTTAATCACTTTAAAAACAGAACTATTATTGTCTTTAATCACTTTAAGAAGAGAATCGAATCAACCGTCATAAAAAAATGATTAACGATTATTGATTATGTATTTCAATCAAGTATTTGATTTTTGTCAGATGCGGTTGGTGGAGTTTCGGGAGTACCTCGCCCTCTTGATCACGAAATTATCTCGAGAATTAACGATTTATGAGTAAAAACTTCATGAGACGTTTGCGAAATTTTTCATGAGCCATAAAAACTCTCTTTTGATGTTTAGCCCTGAAATTACGAGATAATTGCGTAATGAAAATAGATGAAATAATCGACTATCATCATCACTTTTAATCACTCTACATACAGCAATGAGTCAATGATTGATAATCATTGATTATGAATTTTGATCCGGTATTTAATTTTCATTCGATGTAATTTGTGTTGTTTGGGTGTGCCTGGCATGAATACACAATGTGGAATAATCACCTCTCTGTATCAATTACGAAATTTCTCCATAAAATTTTTATTTAAATTCCGATCCAAATAAATTTCTTGGAACAAATGATTTATTTTCTCACTATTCATGATCAATTTCATAAATTTTTTGCAACTCCATTTTTCGCATAAGAATGGTGTTACCCCCGCCCACATATCCCCCACATCCACTCCACAGAGTTTTGCTCTACTTGTCCTCGCTCTCCACAAAACAAAAAACAATTCACCGATAATTTAATTAGCGAATTAATTTTCATTAACCGGCTACGCAATACATAATTAGGCTCTTCAGGCATGTCTCGTGTGGCCGATTAAACTGAATAAAAAGCTGAGAAACGAGAAAATAAATAAGAATGAAATAATCGGAACCTCCGTGTGTAGATGACGCCAAATACGGCCCGTGCGTTTTCTCGCCTCGTTCCCCCGCGGACTCGGTTACCCCTTCAATTTAAACCGGTGAATCCAGTCGCAGTTCACCCGGTGCAAGGGCCAATGCGTTTTTGTATTGGAATTCAAAGAGACATTTTGTGCCCAAGAATTTCTGTAGAAAAACTCACCAGAGAACAATTCATGTAGAAAAATTAAAGTATTGATTTTTTTATATCGGATATCTATTTTTTAAAAATCAGCATCAAAACTGCATAATTTTTTGTAGAAATCTACGGAAAAAAATAAATGCCGTGCTTAGAGAATTGCAATAAAAATTCGATAAAATTTCTTAGAAAAATAGTTCAGTAGCGAAGTGGTAAAAGGAGATAAGTCAATTTTGACTATTGACCAGTTTTCAATCAATATCTCGGAATCTAAGGAACATAGAAAAATTTTTGTTATTATCTTTTTTGTGGAGCCGATTGAGTGCTACAACAAATGTAATTACAAAAATTTCGCTATCTCCCTTGGATCCGGAAATATTCCTCAAAAACTCAACTGGGAGATAAGTCGACTTATCTCCGTTTACCACTTCACTGCTGAATTTTTTTCATACGCGCTAATAGGATTTTTCAACGGA